CAAAGCCTTGCTGAAAAATCTATGGGAAAGTATAACAAAGAAACAAACTCCATATGGAAGAAGCAGCGTCTCCCTAAAATACCAATTCTTAGGGTTTTTAAATAAAGAGAAAATAGGACAGCGCCTATAAATACGAAGTTATCCGGGGGATGGGACCCACGTCTGAAGAGAACACTAGCTGATGTTCCGTGTCTGTGTTACACACGTGACCAAAGAGGGATCTCACAGTGTGCCTGTGTCCTGCACTGTCACACCAGGGCAGGGTGGAATTTTCCACTGTGGGCTCACGCTGGTCCTCAGAGTTTGGATTTGCGCACTTTGGATTTCAGATCAGGAATGCTCAGCCTGTCCTTGCCAACAGCTAAGTACCGGGCACTTAGGGTATCCCAAGAACTGCATTCAGATCCCCATTTGATCCTCAACAATGACACAGTTCTATTTCCATTAAACAGATGTGTATGTCGAGGCCCTGAGACACCAAGTGCCTCATCTAAGGGGCAGTGTCAGGATTCAAACCCACATCAGTCTGCTGGCAAAGGGCAACGGGAGGGCACCGTCCACCTGCCCCGTGGGATCCTGGCTGAGGTCAAGGGAACCCTCAGAACTCCCGGCCGGGCAAGGCCTGTGATGTGCTGGGCGCTCCTTTGAGGGTCTCTGGTCACCAGGACCATGGCACCCTGGCTGAGGAGCCCCCTTCCAACCTCTGCCCACCATGGGCACAACCCGCTTTCCCTTCCCCTCCCGGGGCCGGTCAGTGACTCGGTCCTGCCACTGGTGCCCATATTTTCTGTCTGCCACCAACACCGAGCACTCAGGACCTCCTCTGAGTTCTGCCACCCCCCGGGGAGCTGTGCCAGCAGCGGAAGGCCCGCTCCTGACAGTGTGCCCATCTGCAAAGGTCACACCACAGGGACAACAAAGGACCTCTCTGTCCTAGTGCTAAGGTAACCACAGTCACTGGCGGAAGTCACCCATTCGACCTTCAGGCCGGATGAATTAATAATGAAGCCAGTGACAGGCTGGCTGGCAGGACTGGGGTGCCTGGCTCCCCGCTGCGGGCCCTCACCTCACACTGTCACCTGGCCGGGCAGAGGCAGCCCTGACTTTTCCTCCCAGAGCAGCAGGCACCTCATCCCCTCCACCGAAGCCCCCAGGACTCAAGTGCTCTGCCAGCGCCGAGCTTCTGTCAGGGCATGAGGACCATTAACTCAGCACGGGCCACCCTGCTGGAGTTGGGGGGCAGGCAGAGAGACGGGGAGGGGATCCAGTTACCCAGGCCACACAGCCTGGGTGCAGTCACGACTCCCAGCAGGGACACACAGAGCTCCTCAGGACAGGTGTGAGCCCCCACCCCAGAAGCCACTGCCTCTTCCTCCCAGACATGCCACCCACCCCCCTCACGGGCCCCCTCAGCGAGCATACATGTTCTAGAACTTTCCACATCACCCCTATCTGCCTCAAGGAACAACTGCCCAGCTGAGTGGACAAGGGTGGGGATCACTGGGGACGCAATCATGGGGTGACATCGCCTCTCCAAGGTATCAGGACTTGCAGACTTGGAGCCTCTGTATCCTGTGGGTGTCTGTCAGGTGGGAGGCACTTGCTCCCCACCTAGAAAACCCCACTGGAAGGCCACGTGAGGGAGTTGATTCTGGCATCTACAGGACCTCAGCCAGTCACTTCACATGCCTGAGCCTCAGTTTCTCCATCTGTAAACTGGCAACAACGACAGCCCAGCCCTCAGGGGGCTCTTAGGAGACTGCAGGTGGCTGACAGCCGGTGTCCATGACAGACCACAGAAGGCTGTCACCTGGTGCCTTTTCAAAGGGACAGCACTGGCAGCTCAGAAAGGGCACCACTGGCTGAGACAGCCCAGCAGGTCACACAGCGGGACCTCGAGGCCACCTCCAGGGCCCCGCTCTGCAGCCGTCACCGTGCAGAGATGACGCATCCAGCTGCACAGTGACAGCCACCATCTCGGGCCGGAGCAGGGCCGGAACCCTTCCGCCTGCCTGCCTGCTCCCCAGTGCTCGCACAGCATCCACCCTGAGGTGCCTGGAGGAGGGCACGGAAGTCGGCACCAAGAGGTTGGTGTCACCTGCGTGTTCCTGCGTGGTCTTCAGCACTGTGCTGATGACTCCAAGCTGTGCCGCCCCTGCCCACCCAGAGCGCCCAGCCTGCAGAAGGACGGTCCTCCCCGGCCGCCCCGGCCTGTCTGTCCTCTTTGCCGTGAAGCCATAATGCTTCATGACTGTAAACTACAACTGTAATTGTTTTAATAATTTTCTTCCCAGGCGTAATTTGCACGCAATGGAACATGCCAGCACTGCTTCAGGAACTTGGGGAGAGCCCAGAGGCACTGGACAGCCCTGCGTCTCGGATTCCCTGAGGACGCCGGGACCAGGACACATCACCACAGGGAACAGCAAAACAGAGGCAGCTGGGATGGCCAGGACTGGGCAGCAGCGGGGCTCTGGGGAGTGACAGCGCAGAACGTGCTGGTCACCACTGCGTCCCCCAGTACGTCTCTGTCTGCAGCAGTCCTGGGTGGCCCCAAGCTTCTTGGAGGGCAGTGATTCTCCCTGGTCCCCCTGGTACAGCTCCTCAAGAAGCCGGAACACGGCACGGGGCGGCAGCAGGGCACAGTGCGTCCCAGGTACGGATCTGGTAGGAAGACCAGCGCGTGCCCACGGCCGGCCTCAGGCTCACAGCCTGCCCTCCGGCTCTGCCCAGGGTGAGAGCCGGAGTGGACCCCAAGTCTGCGGCCCGTCGGCCTGTCGCCTTGGACAGCCACTTCATGGCCCGGGCCTGGGCGGGGTCCGCTGGCTGCCACAGAACTGCTTGGCCTGGCGTTAGGCGGGTGACGGGTACCCGGTAACAGCAGCGGTGCCCCAGAGCTGACCCGGGCTCTGTGCCGAGCCTGCTATTCTCCGAGTCCTCTGACATTTCCTTAGGGACCCCACGAGGGAGCAGGCACTGGGGGACCAGAGCGGGGCTGCCTCCAGGAGAGCTCAGGGTGGGCCTGGCTCTGATGCAGGATCCTGGGGGCCGACAGGGTCCCTGCGTGGGAGACATGAGCTCAGACACAAAACTCAGAGGCCACCAGCGCAGCTGGGCTTGGCTGCTCAAGAGGATCTTAGCAATCCAGGTAGGCTGTCCATCTCCTGAAGCACGCCTGCTTGTTTATGCTGCAAATCAATCAAAGCCAGAGCAGGCTGGAGGAGGGAGTGGGCGTGCAGACCCGCAGATGCCCTGCGTGGGTGGCTGCCTGCTCAGACCTATTTCTGGCGAGGCTGGCTCAGTGCTGGAGGCCTGGGTGCTCAGTGTGTGGAGCAGGAACCAGAGACCTGTGGCGGCCCGCTGGGGAAGGTGGCAAGGCCTCTTGGAAGTGTCCAGCGACCTCGCCCTTGCCTCTAAGGCCTCCTGCATTCTCCCAGCAAACAGAGATCCACGCACCAAGATGAACACAGCAGAGAGTTCTGTGCTCTCGGGGAGCTGCCAGTCTGGAGGGGTGACAGAGCTGACGATTATGACAGAGAATGATGCCTGCTGTGACAGGAGGGAGCACAGCAGCGAGAGAGACTGAGGATGAAGACAAGAGCTGGCTCACAAAGGCCTGGTGGAGAGGAGCCAGGGATGGCTTTGTGGAAGGGAACCACAGCTAAGCCAAGCCCTGTGTGGTAAAGAGCATTAGCTTTGTAAGGAGATTGGCTTTAGAGAAAAGGTCTGACATCTTACCCCAGATGATGGTGGGCAAACCACATAATAGAACAGAAAGAGTGCTGCGGGGGTTGGGGACAGCTTGTGCAAAGGTCCGGAGGTAGGAACAACAGGAGTGGGCTTTACCTACCCCTTCTGGGTTCCTAGAAATCTAAGAGACGACTAAACACAATGAAAGCAAAGCTGTGGGAAGAAGCAGCCTTGGAGATCCTTCCACCGCCTACCTCACTTCGCCAGCTCTGGGGCTGCGGGCAAGCTGCTTTATTTCTCTGAGCCTCAGTTTCCTCATCTGTAACTGGCCCCATAGTGTCGCTTTCCTGGAGGATCTGCACACAGATTCCACGCACGTGTGTGCACAGTGCTGGGGGCACCACCAACCCAGGGGCACAGCTGCCCTCAGGAACAGCCCCCACCTTTCTGAAGGACACTCGAGGGGTTCTTATGGGAGTCGCCCTGCCAGCCCCGGGAACACACGTTCTCCCGTGCCCGGACTAGCACACGTCACACACGAACACAGCCTGCTTCACTCACGAGACTACCCAGGGGTCTGAGGGGCCGTGGAGCCTCAGGGAGGCAAAGCCACCTGCTCACAGTCACTGGGAGGGAGCCCAGGACTTAACTCCTCGCTGTGCTCCAAGCGCCCGGGATGTACAAACGAGTGTAACGATGATCTGTAACACAAACACTTCCGGTTAACTCATTCCCCAGCTCCAGAAGCTACTGTTGCCATGTCTGTTTTCTAGTAGATGAAACGTAGACTCAGCACAGGGCACTCACTCAAGGCCAGTTCCTCAAAGTCAGGCTCCCGCCACAGCTCCAGCCCTGAAGACTGCTGTGTCATCCCCCACAGTTCTCAGTTACAGTTACCAACTTGTTCCTGCCACAGGGCCTTTGCATTTGCTGTTCCCTCTGCCCAAAATGTTCTTGCCAATGGCTGTGTGGCTGGCTCCTTCTTATTTGAGTTTCTATAATAGTCCAAAAAAATGTACAACCCACCACCACCACCACCATGCTCATCTGCTATATCTGGTTCACAGAGCTTAACCCTGTAGACTAGTTTGTTTACTGTGTCTCCCTTGGGAATGTCAGCCTCTCTAAATTCCCAGCCCTCACTCAGTCCCTAAATATTTGGTAAATGGATACAAGTGTCCAGACTGTACCAGTCCAGACTGTACTGCCCTTCAGAGGCCTGGGGACCCCTTCCATCCATCTAAAGTTCAGAGATCTGGGGGCATTCCTTCTCCCCTGCAATCAGACCTCAGAGCCTCCTTCCTGGTCCTCTTCCTGCCCCTCCCCGCTAGGGGTGTGAAATGTGAGCTCTGGGCAGCCAGGAGGGAGGCAGAACCAGCTGCATCCAGGAGCCACCAGCGGGAGCGCAGCATCTGTCATCTCCAGGGGACCCAGGAAACCGAGGGGACTCCCAGCATGCTCTGAGCTCCATCATCTGTCAAAGCCCCCTCACAGGTGGAATTCCCCCAGAATGCCCCGGGGTGGAGGGGCCCCTGCTGCAGGAATCCCAGCAGTACAGAGGAAGTGGCAGGAGGCACCCAGACGGCGCTGGAGGAACAATAAAAAGACGAGAAACCCGAGAAAGAACGGGCCGGGGAATCGACACTTCTCCTCTCTCTTCGGCAGCGGCAGCGGGGTCAGGTTTACACAACTTTTTTTTTTTTTTTACAACTTTTTGACTAGGTAAAACGTTTGCATAATTCAAAATGGAAAAGCTGACAGCGAAGCTCCACAAACATCCTCCTGTAGCTCCCGCAGATAACGCAGTCACACACACATACTCTTCTCCAACACAGAGCCCTCCTACAGCCAGCACGCACAAGGCAGTTTTTCCCCCCTCTAGGTGCATATAATTGTATACTACACGCAGATGCACACATACAGGGAAGTGTGAACGCACACACACACACACACACTAGCTATTAAAGGCTTTCTGGCATTTTCATCCGGTTCTCCTAGGAAGGGGCATTTAGCTAGGGCGCACAGGGGCTCATTTTCAGCTGGATACCGGCTTTCTGCCCTTAACTGCCAAGCAGGTGCCAGGAGCCAACTCCTTCCCAGCACCATCTGCAGCCCCGAGTCTGGAGCACGGACCGGCACCAGCAGAACTTCTCTCCCCTGGGAATCCGAGAGGTACAGCGACTGGCCCAAGGTCACACAGCCCGCGGGGTGACCGGGAGGGTTAGCAGCAGCACCGCCGGGCTGGCCTTCCTCCCCCCGGGCCCACCGCCCCAGAGAGCCCGCCGCGGAACCGGGTGCCCGAGGTCAGGCTCAGGTCGCGTGCCCGGGCCGGCCGGACCCCGGACTCGGCTTCCTCCGCGCTCCCTGCGGCAGCTCGGCCCCGTGCCCGCGGCGCCCGGGCGGTGCGGGTGCAGCTCTGCGGCTCCGGCGGTGGGGTGCGCGGGCGCCGAGGGGCGCAGGGCCGAGCCCCCGCCTGAGCTCACCGCGGCCCGGCTCCACCCCGCGCCGGCCACTTCAAAACTTTCCGCCCGCGCGGCGCGCCCGACCGCACCGGCCGCCGCGGGAGCCCATTCGCGGAGGCGGAGACTGAGGCGCGGCCCAGGGCGCGGCGGGCCCGCGCGGTACTCACAGCCGGTCTTGCCCTGCAGCTCCCGCACCTCCTCGGACGCCGAGTGCGCAGCGCCCATGGTGCGCAGCCCGCTCCGGCCGCCCGTCCGCGCGGTGGCGTCGTGGGCGCGGGCCCGCGTGGGGCCCGAGCGCGGCCTCTTATAGCGGCGGCGGCGGCGCGCGCGGTCCTAGCGCACGCCGGGTTCGGCCTGCCGGGCGGGGGCGGGGCGGGGCGGGAAAGAGGATGGGGATCCGGGCTCGGCCCCGGCCGGGAACCCAGGCGCGGTCGGGAGGCCCCCGAGGACCCCACTCCCCGCCGTGCAGCGTGCTGCGGTGTGCGGAGGAGCAGCTGTGGGCGGGCTCGCGGGGAGGGTCGGCGAGCAGCCCCCCGACGGCCCGCCCACCCCGGCTCGCCCCGCGTCCTCCCAGCTGCCGGGCGCGCGGCCCCGCGGGGACGGGGAAGGAGGTCCAGCAACAGTAATAATAATCCATCTGGAATTCGCATCCTGTTGTCCTAGGACCACCTCTATCCCGAGCGGACAGTCTGGACACACCCAGGTGACCGTCCTAACCCCCACCCACCCCCACTCGGGCCGAGCCGGGTCTCTAACTTTTGGAGCCGAGAGCTCCGCCCACCCGGAGTTTGCCTCTGGCCGGTTGTAGATAAAGGTGGTGGACAGAGCCGCACAGGAGGAAGTCGGGGTTCCCTTATGGTGGAGGAACCAATGCCCAGGAAGGCCAGGGGGTCAGGGCCCAAGTTCCTGCCTGAGGCTGGGCTGTTGGGCTCTCCAGTGCTGGGCAACACGGTGATTACGAGGCACTCACTGTCTGTCCTGGGTGCCAGGCTGTGGGATGAGGCTCCAGGCTAGGTCTCAGCAGCACCTTCCTGTCATCCACAGGGCCACACTCAGTGTCACAGCCCCTTCCAGCAGCAGTGAGGCCTTCAGAGCCACCAGGGTGCTCCCGAAACCTTCTGGGGCTACAGAGCCAGCCCCCGGGTACTCTGTCCCAGGCAGACCTGGAATCTGCATTTTGATGCTGGGACCGAGGCCAGCTGGGAAATGCTGGGCATGGGACATCAGCTGGTTGAGCCGGCTGGACTGCAGGCCCACCGACGGCTTTTGAGGTGGGACTAATTCTGAAAACTCAGGCAGAACTGGAGGTGGGAGCCCAGGAAAGGGGTCAGAGCCCCTGAGACAGCCCAGTGTCCAACAACTGCCAGAGTGCAAGGTCAGTTCGTGTAATTGTGCTTTTTGGAAACGATTCAAGGGGCAATGATGGGTGTCTACGGGGGAGGCCGCAAGTGACCACTCCCCCAACAGGGGCTCCCAGAATGGACACAGTGTCAGTGGGGCAGGGAGGGTTAAGGGGTACACAACTTTGTGATCTCACTGAGATAGCAGCAGTTCCTACTGGATACCCTCTCTGCAGCAGATTGCTGGCTGCTGCCGCCTCCTGACAAGCTCTTGGAATCCTCCTGGAACACCTACCTCCTCCTCTGACTGCAGTGTGAACTTGGCCTCAGGTCTTCTCAGTCAGGCAAGCCACTTCTGCCAGCAGGGAGCTGGGACAGAGGGCGACCTGTGTAGAACTTACTCCTAACTGCAGGAGAAATAATCAGTGCAGCAGGAAGATAGACCAAGGCATGATTTTTTGCATTCATTCGTTTATTCACTGTATGTTTATTGAGAACCTACTATGTCCAGGCCCCAGCTAGGAATAGAGACCCTGTTTTTTTCTCCAGGGAACCCCTGGTGGAGTTGGAGACAGGTATACCCAGGCAGTGACAGAGCAAGCAGCCCCACAGAACAGGGTCCCCACAGAAATCAGGGATGTTCAAGCCAGAAGTCCCCCTGGGGAGCTGCTGTGATCCCCCTGAAGCTGAGCTGCACGGACTTTGTGACTGTCCCTGCCACTGGTGCCAAAAGGACACACCGTAGCCAAATACACCTCGGATGGCCATCTCTCGGATGGCCGTCTCTCGGAGTCAGCGTGGGCCCCTGCAGCAGCGCCCGCCGTCTGCCTCCAGCGGGGCTCCCGACACACAAAGCTTGTGGCTGCCGGGTTCCAAAGGTCACTTCACTCAATCAGTTCTTCTGATGGCCCTGCTGGCGTCACTAGAGCGCCATGAGGTCTGGAGCAGTGCGTGGGGTCTGGCGCTGATTGCATTTGCTGTTTGGAGAGAAGCAGCACCCCTGGGGACGAGCTTTGTGGTCCTGTCTCACAGGACGACCTTCTGTGGACTGCTTTGGTCGCCTGGCAACTGTCTTTCTTCTCCCAGAGGAGACCCCCCCCCCCCCGCCCCACCCCAGGAGCTGATTAAAAGCTGTGGCCAAAAATATCTGTGTTTGTCTCCGTATCAACGTGAGTCACATGCATGGCTGGTACCTGTGACGCCAGAGGCTGGCTGGTCCCAGGGATGCCAGGGAGGGTCTTCGTGCCACTGTGCCACCTTTTAGTCAGAGAGGGCCACAGCACCAGACTCCGGCAAGTGCTGAACCTTCCCTGAGCCTCAGTTTCCCCACCTGTAAAATGGCAACAGCAGTGATGCCTTCCTGATTGGGGCAAGTGGGGGTGAAGTGAGGATCCGCGTCTGTAAAGCACCACATGTGTGGCAGTTTGCTGGTAAACAGACTCTGAGAAGAGACAGAGCGGGCGTGGTGGCACAGGCCTGTGATCCCAGCACTCCGGAGGGTGCGGTGGGAAGACTGCCATGCGCTGGAAGCCAGCATGGTCATCGTAGTGAGCTAAGGCCAGCCCGAACTCCGAGTTATACAGCAGGACCCCCCCCAAACAAACACAAAAAAACCCAAGTGGCGGGGGAGTCTTGATCTGTGACATTTGCCAGTTTCCGTAGTGTAAACACTTATATGGCAGATTTTTAAGCCACCAGTCATTTAAGGGTGGACTCGCAGACCTGATGAACAGTTAACTATGTAGGGGGGGACGGGGGGGGGGTGTGCTGGAACTGAACCCCAGAACCTCTGCAGCAGAGCTAATTCCCCAGCCCTTTTTTATTTTTATATAGAGACGGGGTCTCTGTAAGTCACCCAAACAGGGCTCAATCTTGCCATCCTCCTGCTTCAGGCTCCCACACTGCTAGGAACGCAGGTGTGCACCACCAGGCCCAGCTAACAGTCCACTCCAGGGGGTCAGCATAGGCCGATCCCTGCGAACCACCGTGCAGCCGTCCCTTCCTGGCTTCAGTCAGTCACACGTTCACCATTGAGCGAATCCCTGATCTCAGGGACCCCAGGACCTGGAAGGCCAGAGATGTGAATAGACCGTCTCGGCAGCCCCCGCCACACACACATCCCCGTTTCATCCATGACGAAGCCAAGGTGTTCAGAATGGGCTGTGGGCCAGAGTCAGGGTGCGGACTGAAGTCCTCTGAACAGGTGTTTCTACCCCACCCCGTCCCCTCTAATCGCTGGGCGTGGGGAAACTCCCACAGCTTGCTCATGTGCTGAGAGTGACAAAACCGTCTTTAGCCACTGATTCCAAGACATTTACACGGACTCCAGGTGGCATCTTGCTTGGCCTCTGACTTAGAGAAGAACAAGCCTAAGCCACATCAAACAAGCATCAGTTAGCGATGCTCTGCCAAACACACCCAGAGCAGGACAGCCGGGGGGTGGCCACACCTGGGCTTTGGCTCCAACAAGGACTGATTGTTGTCAAGAGCACGTCTGAGCTCTCCTGCTGGCCCGTGTGTCTCGGCCTCTTGGTTTTAGCTTCATTGGAGCCCAGAAGTGTCATCTGAAGTCTGCACTCTGAATTACACTTGTCCTTCTGGTTATCTTTATCCTTTCTCCCTGGAGGGACGCTGATGGCTCATCTGCTGTGGGAAGTGGCTTCGGATCTGGCTGGAGCCCAGCTTGTCTGCCCCGGCTGGGTGTGCTGCCACTCTGACCCCAGGGTCTGCTCTGTAGAATGGGTACCACAATTCACGGGCAATCTAGCAAGGGCCAAGGCTTGAACCAGGCTTGGCCTTGGAGGTGACCTCAGCAGGGACATTTTAGAACTGCTGCTCCTTCTCATTTTCTGAGAGCTTTAAATTCAATCTGAAACTGGACAGTCATGTCCTCCTGATTCCTGGGACATGGCCACTCTGGTGTCTACTCCAGATGCTCCAGCTGCAAGGGACCCAACCTCTGCCCCTCTGAGCCACCAGATCTTTGTCTCTACCCCTGGCCATAGCCCCATCCAGACCTCAGAGGGCTGCAGCTCTGCAGAGGTGGGTGTGGGGCTGGCCAGCTCAAAATAGGAGCCCGGTGCTCTTGGGGAGAGGGACTTGAGCATGGTTTTCTATTATTTATAAATAGTGACCTGGTACTTGAACTTGCAGGGAGCAAATGGAAGCTGATCCCTGAAAAGGCTTCAAACTGCATTGTTGTCTGAGAAACAAACTTATCAGCGAAGCAGAAAGCGATGGCAGGGGCCCAAAATCTATTTTAACTTCGCCATCACTTTATATGGTGTGGGGCAGGCTTGGCAGAGTGGTGGGGGCCCTTCCAGGCAGCTCAGGGAGGGCTCCAGGTGGGAAGATTTTATTCCGTCCTTACCTGTGATGTGAGGGAAAGCATCCTACACCAGCCAACAATAGGTGGGAGCTTGTGGAAGACATGCTGGGAAAGGCACATCTTAGTGCCTGGAACCTATGCACTGCACGAGAAGGAGGACTCAGGCTGCTCACTGGCCACTCTGGAGATGGGGGAGTTGGGCCTGGATTTTCTAGGGGGACCCAGGGCCATCATGAGAGACCCTAGACAAGAAATGGGGAAGCAGGAGAGGCAGAGTCAAGAATGACGGGCTGTAGAAGATCCAGCCAGCCATTGCTGGCTTGGAGATGGAGGAGGAGTCCACAAGCCAAGGAATGCAGGCGGCCTTTGCATCCTAGGAAATACAAGAAAACAGACTGTCCACGCCCAGCCCTTAGTGGGAACCCAGCCCTGATGATCACCTTGATTTTCCTGCTGAGACCCATTTCTGGTTTCTGACCCCCACCCCAAACTGTAGGATAATATATCTGGGGTGTTTAGGCTACTTAATTGGTAGTAATTTGTTGCAGACGAAACAGAAAAATACAGACTTATTTTACAATTTGAAGTCCCAGGGCCACAGACAGAGCTGAGCAGGCTGCCTGGAGGGCTGCTTCTTTGAGTCTGAGTTGTCTGGATTCTTTATTTAAATTCTGGCTCCTGGATCCAGATAGGCCAGCTCAGGAGGCCCAGAAATGTATGTTAAACAAGAGCTCCAGGTGACTGTGATGTAGACATCTTAGGGAAGAGGAACAGTTCTGCTGAGGCAGAATTCACACAATTCCCTTGCAGCGTGCAGTCCAGTGGTCTCTCTTACCTGCACAGAGTTGTGCAACCATCACTATCATCAGTTTTTGGAATAATTTCTTCATCCCAAGAGATTCTCATCACCGTTAGTCATCAGCCAGCCCTGTGAGCACACCCACCCTCCCCAGCAACGGAGACCCACCAGCCTGCTTTCTGTCTGTTTGTGCTGCATAAATGAAATCACAAAATAGGTGACCTTTTGTATCTGTTTTTGCCCACTCAGCCTGTGTTTTCAGCCTTTGTCTTTTCCATGGGTGAGTAATATTCCACCCTGTGACTTACCTGTTCTTCCATTGAGGGACACCTGAATTGTTTCCAACTTTTGGCTGCTGTGATCCTTTTGCTGTGAACAAAGACCTGTGACTTGCACACAAATATCTGCTTGAATCCCCAAGCAGGCCTCATTCTGAGACACCAGAACATCATAGTGAGGGTGATGTCGTCTCTTTCATGTGTTCTGCTTCCAAAGCAGGTGCTGTGGCAGACTAGGGGGATGCACATGTGGCAGCTACATTAGAACTCTCCTTAGTGCGCCTCATTTAACAGGCACCACTGAATGCATGCAATCTATCCCCCTTGAGGGACAGAGCCAGAAACTGAGCCCAAGGGCTCAGATTGAAGGCTTAAGCTTATGGAGTTTGCAAAGTAGCAGCGCCCTGAGGGGCTACCCTGACCCTCAACCCAGGGCTGCGTCTTGCAAGTCTCTCTCACCTGGAGCAAGGTTACTCGGCTGGCAGCAAAGGGAAATCCATTCCTTCCGTCTGCTGACTCACTGAGCGGCAGCCCAGGTCCCCTTTCCCAAGAGCTCAGCACCTCTGCGTCCTGTGATCCTCCCTGAGTCACAGCTCTGCAGCCTTCTCCCCCCACAGTCCTTTGCGTGGGACCAAGGCTGCAGGAGGCCACTCGAGCTGCCTGTTTAACAAGGGCGCTGCTGACCGGATGCCCACTCCATGAGGCCACCCAGGAAGGGCGCCTGAGCTCCCACAGCTCCAGGGCAAAAAACAGAGGTCTAGGGCGCTTGCTTGAGACCCTGCGCGCCCGACGTGCTGGGCTCGTGTCCTGGACCACGCGGGAGCCAGGACAGCGCCCTTGGACTGAGATGCTGTCTCCTCACCACCTCAGTGTCCCCAGGCACCTGCAGCAAGGGACCCCATGTCCAGGTGCAGGGAGGGAGACCCTCATCCAACGTCAGGTGCAGGGTCACCTCTGTGGGGAGAATCGAGGTCCCAGTGTGTCATCCTCTGCTGTCACTGTCCCTCTGGCTGTCTGGACTTCAGGGACACTAGGGGAAGCCCCTGCTTTTGGTGTGACACCGGGCACTGACTCAGCTGCACCGGGAGCTGCCCTGCCTGGTGACACTGCAGGCTGCGAACAGTGGTGCAGCCAGGAGGGCCAACTCCACCCCCCAGCCCCGTCCAGGGGCCTCCCTAGCCCAGGGGCAGTGAGGTGGGCATCCCAGCCACGAGCTGTGCCCCCCGCCCTGGGCCCAGGACGAGGCCCCTTGAGACTTGCAGAGTGCCTGGGGGCAGGGATGATAAGTATACACTGGGGTTCAGGCTCGGCGCAGTGGATAATTTGGGGTTTACCTGGGAAGAGG